ACCTTCTAAAAATTAAATTTTTATGTGTTTCCCAAGACTTCTCCAAAAGAGTCAAAAGAGAAACCTACAGATGGGGAAAAAATATTCAGCAATGACGTATCTGACAAGGGATTTATCTCTAGAATTTATAAAAAACTCCAACACCTCAACAACAAAAAGACAAATAATCCAGTTAAAAAGGAGCAGAAAACATGAATAGACACCTCACCAAAGAGGATATTCAGGTGGCCAACAAACATTTATGAAGAAATGCTCACAATTATTAGCCATTAAAGAGATGCAAATCAAAACAGTAATGAGATACCATCTTGCCCCAGCACTAGTAGCAAAGTTCAGCAAGACAGAAAATAACAAATGCTGGCGAGGATGTGAAGAAATTGGGACTCTCATCCACTTTTGGTGGGACTGCCAAATGACACAACCACTGTGGAAAGCAATATGGCGATTCCTTAAAAAGTTGAAATTAGAAATACCATTTGACTCAGCCATTCCATTACTAGGTATATATCCTAAAGAAGTGAGAGCTATGACAAAAACAGACATATGCACACCCATGTTCATTGCAGCACTATTTACAATAGCCAAAAGATGGAAACAACCTAGGTGTCCATCCGTTGAGGTATGGATTACCAAACTATGGTACATACACATGATGGAATACTCTACAACCCTAAAGAATAAACTAGAATCTGCAAAACACCACATAACGTGGATCAACTTGGAGGACATTATGCTGAGTGAAATAAGTCAATCATAGAAAGACAAATATCGTATCAGTTCATTATTGTACAAAGTCAAGGAAAAGTTTATATATGGAAGGAAATTTTCTTTGCTGGTTACCAGGGATAGGGGAGGAGAGGAGAGGGAATACTGCTAGATAGGTAGAGCAAATTGATTTGGGTGAAGAGAAGGGCAATGTACCAAATGTGTGTGATCAACACAGTGTCATTGAGGAAGAGGAAGACAGAAAGAGGTGCATGGGAGGGACAGCCAACAAAGATGTACCCTTTTGCATATACAGTACTGCATTGTCAGTGAAGGCAAACATGGATAGATGGGTGGATAGATGGGTAGACAGGCTGAACAATTAGGTATGTCTATGCAGTGGGGAGTGTGTCCAAGACTATATAGGGTTTGTAGACAGTGTTTCTGCAAGTATATTTGTATATTCTCTAAGAATTCCCAGGTATATGGTAGAGCTGACAAGGGGCAAGGTTGTAGTCACTTCTTGCCCACAGCTAGCTGCCCGGTGGGAGTGAGTACTTAGACCTGTGGGCTCAGGACCATAGTCCCAGGGGACATCAAGTTCAATTGGCATAACATACTACCTAAAACATTGTTCCACATCCTACTGAGTAGCAACTGTGATCTTGAAAACTTGCAAGCAGCCATCTAGATGCAATGATGGGTCTCTCCTTACCCAGAGCAAAGAAGAATGAAGAAAACCAAAGACACATGGATACAATTAGTCCAAGCAAGTGGTACACCATGCGATCCTCAGCCTATATGACTATGAGACCAGAAGAGCTAGATGGTGCCTGGCTACCACTGTCAACCACTTGGAGGGGGATCTCTGTGGGAGATCCTGGATGGAGTGGGAGGATAATATGGAACAAAATTCAAAATTATTAAAAAAAAAAAAAAAAAAAAGGACCAGGTTTGCTAGTCTAATAGAGCCTGATGTAACTACTGAGACTATGGCCCCTAGCTGCCCTTCAGGTCAGGAATTGAACCCACTCCTGTGGCTTCCATCCAAACAGAAGACAGGCATATGAGCTGAACATTTACATTAGGTGGGTACACTCCTTGGAGAGCTCAATCACAGGAGAATAGAAGGGCTGTGTATGCACAGGGAGATGGCTCGGGGGATAGGAGTGCATGGAGGGAAGGACACAGGGAAGAGGTGACTATGGGGAAGAAATGGGAGGGGAGCTGTTATATTGTGAGAAATTGCAATCAATGTCATGAGTCAAAGTGCATGTGAGCTGCTGTATGGAAAGTGAATTTCCTCTAATCCTTTCACAGATAGCTAGACACTGTGGGAGAGAGATCCATCGGGTCTACTGACCCAGGACCATAGTATTGGATGACTCTAGAGTCAATAACGTACAACAAAATAACTAAAAATTTTATTCCACAACCTACTTTGGTGAGTAGTGACTGGGGTCTTAACAGCTTTCAAGCAGCCATCTAAGATGCAGCTAATGGTCTCCTATCATTGGAAGTGAAGAAGAATGGGGGAAAAAAAACAAGGGCATTTGGGAACAGTCAGCCCTAGGACATGATGGACCTTGGAACAAGAACAAGTTGGTGCTCGGCTACCAATCACAAAGACTCGGGAAGGGATCGTAACTGGAGATCCTGGATAGAGTGGGAGGAAAAACATGGAACAAAATCCAAAAACACAATAATGACCAGAATTACTGGTCGGATGGTGTCTGGTGAGACCCCCAAAACTATGGCCTTGGGATACACTTTGGGCCTGGGATAAAACTCACTCCCAAGGGCCGGCTCTCAGCCCAACAGTAGTAAGACTTACATGCACAACACTCAACCCAGGGCAGTGCATCTACCTACTCACTCTACAGAGATACATCCCTTGGCGTAATCAGCCATGGGTGCCACAGGAGCAACACTGACATGGAGGAAAAGCTGGACAGACAGGAGTGTGTAACTGAGAACGACAGAGGGATGGAGGGGGTCACAGAAAAGGGAGAGGAGAAGAGTGGATTAGGGGTGGGGATGGTAATCAGGAATGAAACCAAATGTACACAAAACGTTGAGTATAAAACATTCTGCTCTGTCAATTTGCACCTAAAGCACAATAAATAAATAAATATATATAAATAAGCGTATTTCTTGGCAGCACAATAAACAAATAAATATAAAGTGTATTTCTTGGCATAAACAAAAAAAAAAGTGAATTTGCTCTGTAAACTTTTACCCAAACCACAACAAAAATTAAAAAAGAAAAAGAAAGAATGTCTCCCTTGCACATCTCAGTCTTTTAAGATGTATCTGTATGGGAGCAAATTGACAACAGCAACTCGAAAGGTTAGATGGGAACTTTCATATCAGTGGGGGAGGAACAATTCAGAGAAGGAGGGTGAGAATGGTTGTACAACTCAAAGAATATAACCAGTATCACTGAATTGTACATGTATATATGTTGAATTGGTATATGCTCTGTTTTGTATAGTTTCAACAATTAGAGCAAACAGATTGTGTGTGCATCCACACGTTGGGCAATGACATTTTAGAAGCAAGCTTTGTCCACACTGCATGTGGACATGACCCACTCTGTCCTCCTCCTTCCCAGAGGGCCCGTGTGAGTTTCATATTCTCACAAAGAGTAGAAAATTGGTTTCCTCTACCATGTGATGTTAAAATGTGGCCTTGACAAACAGTCTTCATGTTTCCTTCCAGAATATTCAGAAGAGGTTCTGCTTCTTGACCTGCGATGCAGCCAGTTACCTGGGAGACAACCTCCGGGGAATTGGATCCAAGTTTGTCAGTTCCTCCCAGATGCTCACCTCCTGCTCCGAGTGCCCCACCCTTTTTGTGGATGCTGAGACTGTGAGTACCCCCAGCCCAGCTGACGGTGTGGAACTTCAAAGCAGTCCATTGGGGTTGTGTGTTGTTTTCAAGACACCTCCCTGTGTCTGTGAGCAGTGCTGGGATGTGATATGTCTCCTGAAGGTTGTGACATGAACACCTCTGAGTCTGCAGAGTGATGACTGCATATCTCAGCGCAGACCAAGGCAAGGTCATTTCAGAGAAACAGCGGAAAATGCCACCTCTCTGCCCGCTCCACATCCTTGGCACCTCTTTCTGGCTTTGACCTTGATGGTTATGAATGTGCTTGGAGAACCACTCAGAGCCAGCCTGGCCAAAGCGTACTGTTGCAGGTTGACCAGCCAGATGGGCCTCCAAGGACACATGCCACTACTTCCCCCATCCCCAATCCCAAACAGCATTTCTAGTTGTACTTTAGATTCAAACTATGAATGGTGAGTTCTGGAGGACAGTGAAAATAGTGTCCGGCTGACTGTTGAATCAGGACTTTATGAACATACCTCTAACTCTGTGAGTCGGCCTCACTCCTTGAAACTGGGGGGTTGTATGTTGCCCTTCTCTGAACCACCATGTGTGTCACAGAACCAGCTTGTTTGCTGAGTGGTTGCCATGGATGGGAAGCAATGAGGGTGAACTTCAGGGTTAAGTCCTTGCAAAGTCGGTCTTTTCAAGAACTTGGTGGGTGGTTGGCTGGCTGTAGTAGAGAATGCAATGTGAGGGATCATTGCTATTTTAAACTTGATTTGAATTGTAGATTACATGCAGATCAGTCTGACAGTCTCTTTAGAGATTGTCTGTACGCTAGGTACTAGGAATATTATTAGATAGTAGCATTCATGCAGAAAGTTGACATCATATTCAGTGCCGTCTTCCATAGAAGACCGTCCATGTGGTTTGTCTATACTGCTGAGAAAACGTGTGATGTTTCCATAGGATGCTTGTATCAGCAAGCTAGCATTACGATTCCAGCTGACAGTGAAGCACAATGACAGACTTTGTAGCTTATTCAAGTGGAAGCCACTGCCACCCTAGACATCACTTCAAAACGGACTTCAAGAAGTTTCTGTCCATGTAGCAGTGCCTTTGTGTTGGCATCTCTCTCAATGTTTTAATACAAATTATCTTCCTATCTTTAGCTCCTTTCCTGTGGGCTTCTGGACAAACTCAAGTTCAGTGTTCTAGAATTGCAAGAATACCTGGACACCTACAACAACAGGAAGGAGGCCACGCTCTCAGTAAGCTTGTGTGTTTCTGTGCATGCAGTTAGACCAGCAAACTCAACCACTACAAGTTCTGGGGTGGGCGTGTGATTAACCCAAGAAAAGCCCTTTGGGGCACAGGAGACCCACTTCCTCTTCTCCTCCATTGTTGTTGTTAGGTGGCGTCGAGTCATCTCTGACTCATAACAGCCTTGTGCACAACAGAACGAAACACTGCCTGGTCCTGTACCAGCCTCGTAATGCCCACTGTACCTGAACCTATCGCTGTAGCCACTGCGTCAGTCCATCTCTTGGAGGCCCTTCTCTTTTTCCACTGACCCTCCACCTGATGCCTCCTTTAGGCTTTACAATTCCTACTTCCTGGTGTGTGCTCTGCCGTAGTATTGCTTATGTAAGTGACACCTACAAAGAAGAAAGTTTTCAGCTTTCACCTTTTCTTCCCTTCATTTTTTTATTTGGGTGAAAGTCTACACAGCCATATGTTGTGGGGATTGCAGTAAATGTCACCAATTTGTTCTGTAAACTTTCACCCAAAAAACAGTTAAAAAAAAAAAAGGAAAGTATACGCAGCCAATGGTACACCATTGAACAAGTTCTAGGGGACAATTCAGCAGCATTGGTGACGTTCTTCAAGCGGCCAAACCATTCTCACTGTCCTTTTCCACATTGTTGTACAGCCATTATCTTAAACTCAGTATCCCATAGGCTTCCCATCCAACCTTCAAGTCACCACTGTCAATCTGACCTCACATTTTTTTTTTTAACTTTCTGTTGTGATTTAGGTGCATGTTTACAGAGCAGTTTTCCATTGAACAATTCACACACATTTCATTTCATGTCGTTGATTGCATTCCCCACAATGTAACATCCCTCCTCCCACATCCTCCCCTGTGTTCCTGTTTCCACTCCTCCCTCCTTCCTATCCCTTCCTGCCTTCTGGGCTTTGTCCCTGGGCAAACGCTGCCCTTCTGGTCTCATCAGGTTCATCATTCTAAGGAGTATGTAAGTCCTTACTGTTACTGTTCACCTTGCAGACCTGTCTGTTTGGCTGAAAACTGAGCCATGGGGCCTAGTCCAGTTCCTTGTCCAAAGAGGGACTAAAGGATATTAACTCCTTAATGTCTCAGGGATTCCACCAGTCTGTATCCAACCCGTAAACCTGGTCTTTTTGACGAGTTTAAGTTATGATCCACATTTTTCTCCACTCTATCCAGGACCACCTAATGTGATCCCTTTCAGAGTCGGTCAGTAGTGGTACCTGGGCACTGTCTAGTTCTGATCTCAGGTTTGTGGAAGCTGAGGTTCATGTGGTCCATCAATCCTCTGAACTGTTTGCATCGTAGAGGTGATTCTTTGAAAGAGCACATTGCTCAAAGCAGACATACTTTACTGATGAAGATGAGCTATTTCATAGTCAAAGATGACTTCAGAGGGTAGTTTTGGTTTAAGATTTAAAGCTGAAAGATTATTTCAGGGAAATAGTTTCTAGTTCCCTCCATAAACAACTGCCTCCTTTCCCATGAAACCAGAAAAACTAGATGGTGCCTGGCTACCACTGTCAACCACTTGGAAGGGGATCAGTGCAGGAGATCCTGGATGGAGAGGGAGAACAATGTGGAACAAAACTCCAAATCATTGAAAAAAAAAAAAGGGACCAGGTTTGCTGGTCCGATAGAGCCTGATGGAACCACTGAGACTATGGCCCCTAGCTTCCCTGCAGGTCTGGAATTGAGTCAATTCCTGTGGCTTCCAGCCAAACAAAAGACAGGCACATGAGCTGAACGTTTACCTGAGGAAGATACACTCCTTGGAGACATCAATCATGGGAGAATAGAAGGGCTGTGTATGCACAGGGAGACAGCTCAGGGGGCAGGAGTGCATGGAGGGATGGACACAGGGAAAAGATATTAACTATGGGGAGGAAGTGGTAGGGGAGCTGTTGTATTGTGGGAAATTGCAGTCAATGTCATGAGACAAACTATATGAGAACTGCTGTATGGAAAGTGAATTTGCTCTAAACTTTCACCCAAATCAGAATAAAATTTTAAAAAAATATATTGACTATACCTCCCTAATGTCTATTCTGTTGATGGGTTCAAACTGTATGTGGATGTGTTTTAACATATACCTGCATCCTACATAGGAGCTCTAGTGGCGTAGTGCCTAAGGCATTTGATATGGGATGATGAAACCGTTCCACAGGGTAATGTATGAAAATGTTGACATGGTATTTGTAAGTGACCATTCCCGAACCCTCATTACCGATACTTAAATTTCAGTTAACCTCAAACCCAAAGACATGATCCTTTTTATAAAGTCACTATAAACAAAAAAGGAAACCCATAGCCATTAAGTCGATTCCAACTCATGGTGACCCCCACAGGGTTTCCAAGGCTGTAAATCTTTATGGAAGCAGATTGCCCTATCTTCCTCCTGCATTGCACCTGGTGGGTTTGAACTGCTGACCTTCTGGTTAGCAGCGAATGCCTTACCCACTGTGGCACCAGAGCTCCTAAGTTGCTAAAGCAATTATTTATTTTCCCTCTTTCTCTTCATTCCTTGATTGATTGTTCGATTGATTGATCGAGAGGCTTAATAAATTTTCCTTGATAGAAAAGGTGTAAAAATGTCCCAGGGCATCACTGACTTATCTGTGTGCCTCTCTTTTTCTGAAAACAGTGGCTTGCAAACTGTAAGGCGACGTTTGCCGGAGGATCAAGGGATGGAGTCATTACGTGCCAACCAGGAGACTCGGAAGAAAAGGTAACAAAAGTCTATGAGAATCTCTTGTCTTCTGTGCTCTGATGTTGTATGTTGGTCTTGACCCACCCGAGAGGCCTGGAACTCGTGAAAGGATGAGGCAAAGTCCTTCATCCCAGACGTTCCCATGACCCCAAGTGCAGTAAGACAGAGTGACGTTCAAGCCAAGCATGACTGCGTGTCGATGTGAGTTGGGGCTGGTTTTCGTTGTTCCTTTGGAACAAAGCCATGGTAGAAAAAAAAAAATAACCTTTTGCTGGATGCTAACAACGCTGATCATTTCCTAATACACTGTCCTCAAGTCAGAATACAAAACCAACGTCCATTCATTTCCCACCAAACCACGTAGGTCCTGGGAGGAGGAGGAGGAGGAGGAGGTGGTGGTCTTGGTTGATCTTTGAGCGGTCACTCTAAAGAGGGCTTCTTCCTGTAACTACACACCTCGGACTAGCTAGCTGGTAAACCTTGGCCCTCATTGTAAAGGCAGCTGGGGAGGACAGTGAATGGATTAAAACTGCTCATTCGGCAGTTGTGTACCTACTGCGTGCCTGCCGTATGCCCATACATGTGATGGACACAGTTACCCAGCCTGAAGAACCAACACCTGAAGTAGTGTTGGTTATAGATTTGTAATTCTAGAATTAGGCTCGCTAATTGTATCCATCATACGCACGAGCCTTGTAGAAGGCACTCAGTAGGTCCCCAACTGCCGAACGAGCAGTTTTAATCCAAAGATTATGCTGCAGTGAGTGTCCTGAGTGAGGAGCAAGGAGAGAGGACTCAGAGCAGCTAGCAGGGTGGCCTGGCCCCGAGGGCTTCTGTGGAAGGAGTATTGAAGCTGAGATCTGTATGTGAGGCAGACAAGGGTGTGGGACCCTCACACACTGCTGGTGGGACCATAAAATGGTACAGCCATTGTGGAAACCATATGGCACTTCCTTAAAAATGTTCAAACTAGAAATACCATTTGATCTAGCAACCCCATTACTAGGAATATATCCTAAAGAAGGGAGAGCCAGGACACACACAGATACATGCATACCCATGTTCATTACAGCACTGTTTGCTGTTGTTTATAATAGCAAAGAGAGAGAAACAACCTAAGTGCCCATCAGCAGAGGAATGGATAACCCAGCTATGGTGCATACACATGATGGAATACTATGCAACCCCAAAGACTAACATAGAATCTGTAAAACACTACATAACATGGATGAACTTGGAGGACATCATGCTCAGTGAAATAAGTCAATCACAAAAGGACAAACACTGTATTAGTCCATTATTGTAAAAAGTCAAGGAAAGGTTTACACAGGGAATGAAAGTACCTTTGTTGGTTACCAGGGAGGGGAAGAGGAAAAGAAGATGGCTGATTAATTAAGAGCTATGTGTTGTTGATTTGGGTGACAGGAAGGGGAGTATACCAAAAGCAGGGGACCAGCAAAACAATCAGTAGGGGAAAGGAAGACAAGGAGAGCTGACAAGAGGTCCAGACGACAGAGGTAAATACTTCCACATACACAATGCTTGTTACCCATAATAAGAAACATTCATCTATGGGTGGATACACAGGTGGACAGGCAACCATGACCAGAAAGGGTTAGGGAAGCAGGACTATACCCACGACTGGATATATTGATGGTATTCCTGCATACGTATTTGTTTGTGCTATAAAAATGTCCATGTGCAGTATAGAGCTCACAGGACAAAGTGAGGATAACTTCTTGGCCACGACTAAGCATACCTTCAGAGAGTGAATCACTGGGCCTGTGGGCTCAGGACCATGGTTGTAGGGGACATCAAGCTTGAATGCAGAACATAGTACACAAAAACATCGTTCTGCATCCAACATTGATGAGTAGGAACTAGAGTCTTAAAAGCTTGTGAGTGACCATCTGAAATACGATTATTGGTCTCTCCTCATGTGGAGCAAAGGTGAGTGAAGAAAATAAAAGATGTGTGGAAACAATCAGTCCAAAGGACTAATGGACTCTGAGACCAGGAGCTAGATGGTGCCCAGCTAACCAATGCCAACCACTCGGAAAGGGATCAGAATTGGAGATTCTGGCTAGAATGGGAGGAAAAGGGTGGAACAAACCTGAAGAACATAAAGACCAGGATGACTGCTCAGATAGAGATTGGTGAAGCCTCCAGTCACTCTTTGAGTCTGGAACTGGACTCATTCCTGTGGCTTACCTCATCCAAACAATAGACAGGCCCATGGGCCTAACACCTACACCAGGGAGATGCACTCCTGAGAACCGTCAACGCTGGGAGATCAGAAGGGCAGCATTTGCGCAGGGAGGGAGGCAGGAATGGAGAGGTAAGAAGGACACAGGGAAGGGGTAACCAGCGGGAGGAAGGAGGAGGAGAGCTGGGACATTGTGAGGATTGTAAACAGTGTCATACAACAAAATGATGGTGAGCTGTCAAACGTGAAACAAATCTGCTTTGTAACATGTCACCCAAATCACAATAAAAAGTTTGAAATAAAATGAAATGTGAGCCAAGTGAAGGAAGGGGAAAGGCAGGGGGGAGAGACTGTGCAGAGGCCCTGAGCTGGAGAGCACCTGGCCCAAGCAAAGGGGTTTATCTTAGCAGCAGGGGGAGACAGTTCTAGTATGTGTCTTAGCAGCAGTGCACGCTTAGATTATGCTGGTACAGCATTAAGTGCTCTCCTGTTAATCAAAAGGTCAGTGCTTAGAACCCACCCAGCAGCTCTTCACCAGAGAGACCTGGTCATCTGCTTCCCTAAAGATGACAACCTGGAAAACCCTACAGGGCAGTTCTCCTCTGTCACAGGGGTCGCTAGGTTGAAATTCACTCAAGGGGACCCAATGCCACAGCTACGAGACCAGGAGCAGTGGTGGCTCAGTGGTAGATTCCTGGCCTCCCATGAGTGAGACCCGGGTTCGATTCCCGGCCGGTACACTTCGTGCGCAGCCACCACCTGTCTGTCCGTGGGGGTGTGCGTGTTGCTAGCTTGCAGAAGTGGTTTCAGCAGAGCTTCCAGACTCAGACATACTAGGAAGAAAGGCCTGGGGACCGTGTGTGGAGAAGCAGCTGGCGAGAACCCTGTGGGGCCCAGCAGTGCACGGAGCAGTGGAGCCCGGGGCCAACTCGAGGGCAGCTACAGCAGCATGGTCAGATGAGCGCTCCCCTGTGGAATCAGACTGCAGAGGGCAGAGTGGAGACAGGAAGACAGGTTACAAGGCAGATACAGACGTGGCTATCTCAAACGTTGCACCCTCGCAAGGCTCAAAACTCATCTTCCTGTGTCGAAAGATCCAGACAGTCTGGGGTAAAATTTTTCAGCTGAGTAACAGTGGTTCAATTCCAATTTTTTGTTGTTGTTACGTGCCGTCGAGTCACACGCAACTCATAGTGACCCTTTCTTGGGTTTCCGAGGCCGTATCACTACAGAAGTAGATTGCCCAACCTTCCTTCCAAGGAGTGGCTGGTGGGTTTGAACTGCCAGCCTTCTGGTTAGCAGTCAAGTGCCTTAGGC